CTTCGTGGATATAACGCTGCGCGTTCATGTTACCTCTGATGATGATTAAAGGTGACGTGGAACCATAAGCTATAGCACCCCAAACCATAACTCCAACAGTGTGATGAACATGTCTTTCAACAAAAAACTGTGGATTCCTCCTTTCACTACTAAACAAAATCGAGACTCGTCACTAAAGACAATACTGTTCCATTCCTGATCCCAGAGTGACCGTTGTCTGCACCACTCAAGGCGATTACGTCGGTGTTCTCGAGTTAAAGGGAGGACCCAGTGTGGCCGGTATGAAAACAAGCCAAAACTTCTCATTCTCGGGAAATAATCCAACGAGGGCCTATGAGCAGGGTTTTTGGCACTGAAAATAGCTCAATTTCAAGTTGATCGCAGCTATCAAGTCTTTGCATTTAAATATTTGTATTTTATGTATCTTAAACTTTCATCAACAGTTTTATTTTTATTTCAGTACTTGATTGTTCTTTACAAGCCCAAAATTTACAGTTTAGGCATTTTTAACCAAAATTCACCCACTTTCCAACATTTAACTTATCAACGCATAGTCGCAACAATCCTATAATAAAACACACTAAAATACAAAACGTATATAGAAATAAAGGTGTTCCTCCATTGCGTTCACATTAAAAAGAAAAGTTGAAACAAATCTATTCGTAATACAATATATAAACGCTACTTAAGGTGGTTGGTCACGCTTTTGAATGTTTTCTTTGTGGTCGCTGATAGGATTTCTGTGATGGTCTGTGGTGGTACATGCTTTAATAATGGTACTATTAGGTATTATACACTTTATTCAAGAAATTACGATTTTTTTCTAGTTTCTTGAAGCTTATTTCCATACTTTCTCGATCAATGTCAATGCGACCGAGTTCAAACTTCGTGTCCACATTAAATTGAAGTACGTTAATGTCATGAGCCCATTGCCTTAATAAATTGTTTTTTGGACAATATTGTCTGATAACTTTTCTACCTAACTTTTATCACGTCCTGGATGGCTCATAACATGTAGACAATGATATTCTGTCGATATGTGAAAAAACGTTCAAGATTTTTAAAAAAATAAACGAGATAATATGGAAATACAGTGAAAAAATCTATTCGACCACGCGCCACCCACTTATGTCAAGCATCTCGCAGTGCCTGGATGGTCAAATGGTTGAAATCAATCAAGTTTCAGAAGCCAGCGCATTTTTCCGTATTTGGACATGTTATAATATATTGACAACCTGCGACACTAGAAATGGACGACGAGATGCGGAAATTTCGACTTCCTATTACCAAATATCAGGTAACCAAATAAGTTCGTGCGGTTTTTAGTAGAAAAATATGAATTTTTATTGAGAAACAATAAGTAATTACCATCAAATTCAATGACCTTCTTCCAACGTGGAACCAATTTTTGTATGCCAGTATTGTACAACTCCCTGGATTTGGAGTAAAAAAATGGCGGACTGCATTTATTACACCATCTCGAGTTGTGAACTGTCGGTGCCTAATGCAGTTGTCAAGAGACAAAAAAGGTGATAATCACTGGGCGAAATGTCGGGAGAATATGGCGGGTGTGGTACCGTTTCCCAGTTCAGAAATTTTTCTCGGGTCACTTTTACGGTATGAGGCTTGGCGTTATCCTGCAAGAATATCACTTTCTTCCGATTGATCAAAGAAGGCTGCTTCTGCTTGTACTCGTTGAAGCTGCTCACAATACAAGTTAGCAGTGACGGTTTGACGCCTTTCCAAAAACTCATAATTGACAATTAAAGTTGCTGTCCACCAAACACGCATCAAAACCTTGTTTGGGTGCAAGGAAGCCCTGAATAGATAGAAGATCCATTTTTCGTCGCAGGTTAATAACCGATTAAGAAATGGTTCCTTAGCGTTACGTGAAATGTTTGCTGAACAAATGGTAAGACGACTTAATTTATCATTTGTCAGTTCATGTGGAAACCATTTGCTTAACTTCCACGTCTTTCCTAGCTGATGAAGATGCATACGAATAGTTTCAGGACTCACTCTGAACATTTCTGCAAGTTCTTGGCACGTTGTCCTGGAATTTGCGACCACCACCTGTCGAAGATCCTCGTTGTTCATAATTTTTGGTCTCCCTGAGCGCGGTTCATCGCTCAAACTGAGATCTCCCGAAGAACATTTTTTGAACCTCTTCTGTGCTGTTCGATCACAAACCGCATCATCTGCGAATGCGGTACATATTTTTTGTGCCGCCGCTGCAGCTTTTGTACCAAGTTTGTACTCATACAGTAAACATGTTCGAATTACTGTTTTATTCGTCGCCATTTTTAATTATTAAAACTAGGTATGTAACAATTTTCAGCAACTTTTTATGTGTGTGAGAAAAGAAGGATTCATACTAAAGTGACAGCAGGTAACAAACAATCGCTAACGATCAACAACATCCATGGCAATGTGCGATATACAGCAAACGCACTAACTTATTTGCTTACCTGATTCAAATATTTTATAGTCGGAACTGCTTATATAATGTACCGTGACTTAAGCCATCGTCATTGACCATTATGAAGCAGTTTGTTAGAAAAAACGAGTACTCTTATGCCAAGTGAACAATTTATAATACTTTGCTATGATAGGGATAACTGCTCCATGTTTTGTCGTGTCAGGAGATGAATATTTCTTGTAGTCCTAGGATTTTGGACTGAAAACGGATTGACGCATGCCAGCAGCGTTTATGCAGATATATTGCAGATGGCTGTGTACTGAATGACGCTACTCTCAGCGGTGCACATCCCATCAGTATGGCGACAACGGCAATGTAGCATTGTGCCAGTATCGCACAGGCACAGGCATTCGATAGATATTTTCTTAGTCGGAACACGGTTATCGCATTAAACGGATTCATTAGTCCCGTCCATCTGTCCGTCCGACTTTGACACTGGCAATTAATTGAAGAGCGTCGCTGTGCATTTGCATCTCCGCATTTGCAGTCCCTGCAGTCTCAGTTGAGGTGATGCTTTAGTGAAGGGCGTCGCGCAATCACTCCAGGTGCATCGAAAGTGACATAATGACTCATCCTGATCCACTAGCTTTCACTACCATTTCTGTTGGAGCGCGCAAACTGATAACCGATAATTGGTTATTTATCGGAAAAAAGTTTGTATCAATAATCGATAAAAATATCATATAAGTATTTTTTACAACAACGAACGATATAATTCACCCCGCGCCGCAAAAATTACATCAAGTCATCAAGTTTTGCACAAGTTAGCCCTCTGAGAAAAAAGTTAGCCACGAACATGTACCAATAACAACAAATTAACCCATGCACAGTTCACGCAGTTCACAGTAGTATGGCAGCGATTGCCGACTGTTACGTACGACTACCGCCGATGACGCTTGTCCATCCCGGAGACCACGCGACTTTAGGGGATATTTCTAAGTTTCATGAGGGCATCTGTGATGAGTGAAATATGCCTAATATGTGCGTAGAATTACAGGGGTCTTATAAATATACGAACGTTAAAAAATAAGATATACCTTCCCCCACACCCTGCAACCCCTAACCCCCTGATTTTCAACCCCCGATGATGATCGACTGAAACCTAAAAAAACGAAGTTTGAGCGATTTTATTTTTTTTGTTTTTGGCCTTTTTCTCCCCCTTCAGTGGTCCGATTTTCAAAAGTTTTTGCGACCTTGGCATAGTAGCAATACGAGTATTATGTAAAAATTTGATCCAAATTCTAGCGATAGTTCTAACGGGTGATTTTTTAAGAGGTATAGGATTTGATTTTCAAAAAAAAAAAACAAAAAAAAATGAAAAAACCATTAAATCTTTATTTGAGTCGATAGAACGGTCGATATAATTTAATGTTTAAAGATTATTTCATGTAAATGTTGGCCGCGGCTCCGCTTTAGATGGCCCATGCGCAAGGTCCGATTTTGGCACACTCTCTCCAACATATCGGCCGGTATCACACGAATAAATGCTTCAATATTGGCTTCCAGTGCGTCAATCGTTGCTGGTTTATCCCTGTAGACATTAGCCATAACAAGGCCCCACAAGAAATAGTCCAACGGCGTTAAATCACATGATCTAGGCGGCCAATTGACGGGCCCCAAACGTGAAATAAACTGTTCACCGAACTCGCCTCTCAATAGGGCCATTGTTTCGTGTGCGGTGCGCCATATGGCACCGTCTTGTTGAAACCACATGTCGGCCAAGTCCAGCTCTTCCATTTTGTGCAAAAAAAAGTTTGTTATCATCGCACGGTAGCGCTCGCCATTCACAGTTACGTTCCGGCCATTGTCGTCTTTGAAGAAGTACAGCCCGATGATGCCACCGGCCCATAATCCACACCAGTCATTTTTTCGGGATGCATTGGTAGCTCTTGCAATGCTTCTTTCTCGTCTTCACTCCAGATGCGGCAATTTTGCTTGTTAACGTACCCATTCAACCAGAAATGAGCTTCGTCGCTGAACACAATTTTTCCAACTTTGCCAGCGACCATTCACCAAATTGGAAACGTTGTGGGAGGTCGTGTTCTTGCATCAGCTGTATCTTATAAGGTTTTACACCCAAATCCTGTCGCAAAATTTTCCACGTAGTGGAGTAACAGAGGCCCAATTGCTGCGAACGGCGGCGAATCGACATTTCACGGTCATCACTAACACTGGCGGATACAGCCGCAATATTTTCTTCAGTCCTCACTCTACGTCTGCGTGTTGGTGGTTTAATGTCCAATAATGTAAACTGGGTTCGAAATTTAGTCACAAGCTTCCGAATAGCTCCCTCAGTAGGGCGACCAAATTGCAGTGCTCGATGCACTCTCTTAACCGTTGTTCGTTCGTAAGTCGATTCATGGTTAAATTATAGACCAAACTGAACAAGTTTGACAATGACACAATACACGATTCACGCGTCATCTGACAAAAACAGTGTGGCCAAAAAGATACTAGCAAAAAAATCACCCATTAGAAAGACAGACAGTCTGACAGAAATTAGTGACATGGTTTTTCGTGAGGTACATGTCATAATATAACATCCAAAAAAACGTATCTTATTTTTGAAAAAATTCGCGATTACAATATGTTACTTCCCCGCCAGTAGCCGTGGGAAGTAAGAATCGCCATTAAAATTTATAGCGATTAACTATGGCTAAAAAGGTTGACGATGTCGACCTATTTACACAGAAGTATCTGAACTGGACTTGAAAACTCCAAAATCGAGGCAGGTAATTCCAAGGAGGAATTATGAAAATAAAAAACTCGGGGCGAATTGAGAAATCAAAGTATAAAATAAGATCAGTGCTTCTGGTAAGGTGAACAATACTTTTAATTTTAAGAGCTAAGTTATGAAAAAGGCATCAACCACAAATGCACAAAATATCAACGTTTGTACGTACATTAAAACGATTATCAAAATTTTTTATTTTGTTTGGTTCTTGGTTTTCAATAAATTGCATTGAGAAATGCATAATGAATATAGCAGATTTTCTAATATAATTTCGGTTTACTTTAGGTAGTAAATAGAATCCTTTTCCCTCTACGATATGTGAGAAGTCAGTTGCAAAGAAAACCGACAAAATCATCCATATATCATTGATTTTCGTATTCTACCTAAAGATTGTCAACCATAAACTATATTCCGGCGACTAAAAAAGGATCTGCAAGATATTAGCGCTATCTAAGATCCAGTGGAAGAACACAAAAATGGATTTAGGAATCTACTTTCAAAAGAGTGTTTGATTCTGCTACCCTCTCATAGATGGTAGTAACGGAACACAAACATGGATTTATGAATCTACTTTCAAAAGAGTTTTTTTTCTGCTACCCTCTCATAGATGGTATCCTATTGCCTATTCTAATTAGATATCTTCATCCACTGATTAACGTATTCCACTTCAAGATACTTTAAAATGGATATTACGAAGGTCAAAAAGTGATTGAAGAACCTAGTGCCATCTATGAGTCAGTGGCACAATTAAACATTTCAACTATTTTTTAAGAATATTTCTGAATTATTCTTCGCTGTTACCGCCTCACAGATGACGCGAGTATGTTTCAGATCCTTTTTTGGTCGCCCCGGTACAGTATACGGTCGAATTTTTTCGTGTATAAGGCGTTAATCAATGCGTCTATCCACCTATCTTGTAACAGCGACTGCATCCCGGATTAACTTTCTAGCCCGCCACCAACAGCAGCGCAATCCAGCCTCTACCGCGGTAGAGCTGGAGAATAACAACGGGAGGCGAACGACGACGAGCGAAATAACACTGCATTATTCCGGCTTATTTGCTCAAAAATCTAATATGCAGCAAATCTTATCCGGCGCGGCACCGCGTTGTCGGAATTTAGGGGGTGGAAAAGCGGCGGCATTTTGGGGACGGTTTCCCGCCCAAATTGCGCGAGCTGTCAGATAGTGCCAGGTGAAATGGGATTAATTTGATGCCGCCACACCGGGCTTGTTTTCCTTGAATGATCTTTTTGAAATTGAGCAGGAGACATGGAGCGTGGTTTCATCACATAACTATAGTTGGATGTAGATTTTTTTGGTTTTTTAGGTATTCTGAAGAAATACGTCAACTTTCTATTCATTGTAGCTTCTCTTATTTCGCCTTTGGAACGTTTAGGATTGGCAGCGTTGCCACGTGGTGGTTTCCATCATAGGGATCCATAAATAATAGATCGTTCCGGTTGTATGGTCTATAATTGATTGCGAGTGCATCACACGTGATCTATCGGTCAAGATGCCTATAGCTTTCTGTCGCTATGCGATATCTAGGTCAATAAAGCACGTATGTACAATGATACATACAAGTTAACATTAGTAAGAAGTTATAATAATTACTATATACTACTATATACTACCATACTATAATAATTATAGTCTAGGAAATAGGTTACTCTACATCGGTACTGTCCTCACGTTGGCTCATAGGTTAGTATTCAAAACTACACACAGGAATATTAGAGCAAATAAAAAATACATACTTTCAATATGTTTCAAACTGATGCATTTGCGCTTTGGAGAAATCAGGTTATAACTAAAATACTAATACAATATTTAGTGGCAGGAGGAAATATACCTTCACTTTTCAATATATACTAAGTGACATATAAATCCGAACACCCAGTTTAAATGGTTTTATTTTAATAAAATTTTGTATAAGTACTTAATGAAGCATAATAAGTAAATGATAAAAATTTCAAAATGATTGCACTGCTTTAAAGCCCTTTGACCTTTAATAATGTGTGGATGCACCCTGATGTGCTATGCATTCTCCAACGCACCTAGGCATGCTTCTGATCAGGAGGTCAATGTCCTCCTGTGGTATCTCATTCCAGGCAACCACCAACTCCTCTCGAAGTGCTTCTACAGTCTGAGGAGGACGTTGCAAATTGTGCAATCTCCTACCCATCATATCCCACACGTGCTCAATTGGGGATAAGTCGGGAGATCTTGGTGGCCATGGTAACAATGTGACAACATTATGTTGAAAGAAGTCTATTGTGACTCTTGCAACATGTGGTCGGGCATTATCTTGCTGGAAAGTTGGATCTGCCAGGGTGTCAAGATAGGGTAAAAGATGGGGTTCTAGAACTTCGTGGATATAACGCTGCGCGTTCATGTTACCTCTGATGAAGATTAAAGGTGACCTGGAACCATAAGCTATATCACCCCAAACCATAACTCCAACAGTGTGATGAACATGTCTTTCAACAAAAAACTGTGGATTCCTCCTTTCACCACGTCGCCTTCTAACCCTGGCACGACCATCGTGCATGCCTAAATAAAATCGAGACTCGTCACTAAAGACAATACTGTTCCATTCATCGGTAAACACTCCGCATGCCAATAGGTCTTCCGTGTTCTGCAAACCATTCATTTGCAATGGACCTGGTAGTGGAGAAACGGTCCCTTAAGGCCAATAATCTTAGGCGGCGATCTTCACGGTCTGTTGTTCTACGGCGGCGTCCGGTGCCCCTTGCTCTTAGCGTACGGCCTTCTCGAAGCCATGCCTGACAACACCTAACCACAGTGTCTTCACTTCTTTGCACTCTAACTGCAATTGCCCGAAAAGAAAGTCCAGCTTCCCGAAGTCCCACTATACGGCCCCTATCAAACTCACTAAGTTGACGAAATCGTGCAGGTCTCCGTACTCTAGGCATCGTAACCGATCGTAAAGGATGTCAAGAACCAAAATCCGCCAACGTTGATTCTTTACTGCGGCTGAAATATTCATTTTTAGAGCGTTAGTGAATTAAAAAAAAAGCAGTATAAAAACCGGAATGTCCAACTGATAAGGCTGAAAATTTTTTCACTTGTTATTTACAGTAAGATAAATACATTCACCAACTTTTATTAAAATAAAACCATTTAAACTGGGTGTTCGGATTTATATGTCACTTAGTATATTTAGTTCCTCTTCAGGAAAATTTCTTTCACATAGTCCCATACTCAATTGCCAAAATTAGTTTGTGATTGCGTGTGTCACTACTACCCATTATTGGATTATAGCGATGCTGCTTTTGGATTTAGTATTGTAAAATTCTGATGGTTGCATCTCTTGACAAAGCAATATTTATTTGTCTGGAATATTCTGAAAATAATTTGTTCATATCTAACAGATTATATTAAGCATCATCCACATCTATACAGGTCCAGCACCTGCCTTGTAAGCGCCAAAAAGCACAATGAGGAACCAAGTTAAAGAATGAAATGAAAGTGTCTCCAGCGGCTGAGAGAGCCACCTAGCGTCAAGTGTATGGTACTTTTATCTATTTCCATTTCACTTTTTAACCTTGCCCACTGTTACATAGTGGCAAACAGTGTACGAATCCAAACCATAAAGCCCATAAAACTATATCTCTAGTCCAGACATTCCTAGGAGACCACACAACACCACGCAAGGAGAAGAAGTCCTTTCCATCGTAATCCCTGTCACTGAGTCTGATCCTATTTTATTATTAATACCCGCGCGACTTTTACGGTGCAATTTTATTAAGGGCGGTATTTTTTTTTATTTGCAGGTAAGGTGCCATCGCCGTTCTGCTGTCGGACTATTAGTTCCTGAGGGAGAACGTCGGGACGAGTCGGTGTCGGGCTCTTTTTGGACAGTCAGCCTGTAAGTTTTATATGCAATTACCCCGAAAGGCGTGTATGTTTTATTGAAAGGGACGCGGCCGTAGGGTCGTAAAAAGTTTACTGCGAATGTGCGGACAGACTGATGGCAATTCGTGGTTGACGGTCGTGTCCGTGTCAGTCTCGGGTGTGGAGTGATGCCGGGCCTATCAACGATTCATTTCCGTGTTTCTTATTTGTGGTTTAGCCAACAAATTACAGGAAATTTAAGGGTACTGATATTACCGCTTATAATGGCTAAACTAAAAAACTAAGGTCCGGTTTTTAAATCGCAAGTAAATTTTCTGGTTAGAGAACTATAGCTGTTAGCTTCTGTGCCTTGTGTCATACATGTCATAATTTTAATACTGACAATATAATAATTATTGCTGAGGCCCTAATTAATGAAGACTTCAGGTCTATCGACAAGTATGCAAACACTCATGATCTCAAAATGAATTCAGAGAAAACAAAAGTAATTTTATTCACTCCTAAAAAATTTAGAAATCAAATTAAGAAATATTTGACAATATCATTAAATGGTGAAATTATAAAAGTAAAATAAAATATAAATAAAAAATCTAGGCATATCTCTTGATGAATGTCTGAATTTTATTCCTCATGTGAACAATGTTACGAAAAGTTGTTTTTTAGTACTTCGGCAATTATACTTGAACAAACAAATTCTCTATTGCAAAAATAAAGCTCTGTGAGTCATCAGTTATTTCAAAAATTACATACTGCGGCATTGTTTATCATCCGTTTTTAGATTCAGTATTTGTCAAGCGCTTACAAAAATTCAAAATTCATGTTGCAGATTAATCTGAAAAAAAATATAACCACCTTACCTCCTCGTTCATAAAATTGGAATGCTTATCTATTCCTAATCTATTTAAGTTGCATTTACTGTTATATTTATAAGCTTTTACTTACCTCAATTCCCCCATTTTTGAAAGATTAGTTAAAATTTCGTGGTTCTATGCACTCACTAGATATTGGCTTTATTGATAAAATAACAATTGCTTCTCACAGACCTTTTACTTATAATTCTACTATCATGTACAATGCTTTACCCTGTGATACTAAAGCTTTAAATTTCAAGAATTTCAAAAATCATTTAAAAAAATAATTTTCGAGCAATCTTCATATAAATTTATGTCTTACTTCCGCTTATAATAATGGGTGATTTTTTTGTTAGTATCTTTTTGGCAACACTGCTTTTGACAGATGACGCGTGAATCGTATCTTGTGTCATTGTCAAACTTGTTCAGTTTGGTCTATAATTTAACCATAACTTACGAACGAACAACGCTTGCAAATTATTGAATTTTACTATCAAAATTCATGCTCGGTTAAGAGAGTGCATCGAGCACTGCTTCCAATTTATGGGCAATTTGGTCGGCCTACTGAGGGAGCTATTCGGAAGCTTGTGACTAAATTGCGAACCCAGTTTACATTATTGGACATTAAACCACCAACACGCAGACGTAGAGTGAGGACTGAAGAAAATATTGCGGCTGTATCCGCCAGACCGTGAAATGTCGATTCGCCGTCGTTCGCAGCAATTGGGCCTCTGTTACTCCAATACGTGGAAAATTTTGCGACAGGATTTGGGTGTACAACCTTATAAAATACAGCTGGTGCAAGAATTGAAGCCACACGACCTCCCACGACGTTTCCAATTTGGTGAATGGGCGCTGGCAAAGTTGGAGGAAGATCCACATTTTTATCGAAAAATTGTGTTCAGCGATGAAGCTCATTTCTGGTTGAATGGGTACGTTAACAAGCAAAATTGCCGCATCTGGAGTGAAGACCAGCCAGAAGCATTGCAAGAGCTACCAATGCATCCCGAAAAAATCACTGTTTGGTGTGGATTATGGGCCGGTGGCATCATCGGGCCGTACTTCTTCAAAGACGACAATGGCCGGAACGTAACTGTGAATGGCGAGCGCTACCGTGCGATGATTGTTAACTTTTTTTCCCAAAATGGAAGAGCTGGACTTGGCTGACATGTGGTTTCAACAAGACGATTCCACCTGCCACACCGCACACGATCAATGGCCATATTGAGAGGCGAGTTCGGTGAACAGTTTATCTCACGTTTGGGGCCCGTCAATTGGCCGCCTAGATCGTGTTATTTAACGCCGCTGGACTATTTCTTGTGGGGCCATGTTAAGGCTAATGTCTACAGCGATAGACCAGCAACGATTGACGCACTGGAAGCCAATATTGAATCATTTATTCGTGAGATACCGGCCGATATGTTGGAGAGAGTGTGCTAAAATTGGACCTTGCGCATGGGCCATCTAAAGCGGAGCCGCGGCCACCATTTACATGAAATAATCTTTAAACATTAAATTATATCGACCGTTCTATCGACTCAAATAAAGATTTAATCGTTTTTTCAAATTTTTTGTGTTTTTTTGAAAATCAAATCCTATACCTCTTAAAAAATCACCCGTTATATGCATCAACATCTTTCTATATGTATGTATAATGTTATACTTTTATCCAATTTTGATTTACCTGTATTTGCGCTGTACTGTCTTACTAATAAAAAAGCCATCCAGCAAAATATCTCAATAGGCAGAAACGGGAGATTAAGCGCCCAAAAAAATCCAGTACTCCTAATTCATAAAATTTTGAGAGCAAAATTGCATTTTACAGTATTTTTCGTACCTTGAAGATCCCTCGCACCACCGAAGTTGTGGAAAAGCTTTAAAACAGCAAGCGAGCATCAAGTAAATGGAGTGTAAGGAAGAGAGAGAGAGAGAGTAACGGCAGTACACATGGTGCCGACATGGCGTCTTCCATTCCATGAAATATAAATCCCTTAATTTTCTGGTATAGCAGAGACCGATAAAATTTATGTATCAATTTGTCTGCAGCAGTCTAGTTGACCTATCGTCCGCATTTTGTTACCCTTTTTACTGCCGCTGAGACGACGCGCCGGTTTAAGATGCATTTCAGTCACCACGAGCAAATAACTGAGTAAATTATTTTCATGTAATGCTGTTTCGCAGCTATTCATTGGGGAATAACTAAATACTACGAAATAGCCCAGGAAAAAGACTATCTTACACATCTCTTGAGCATTCAGATAAATAACCAATTCTTACAATTTTCTGATTCTGCAATAATTCTTGGTGTTGTTTTTGATACAAAATTACGGTTTGCTCAACATGCTAAAAGTCTCTGGCAGAAAACCTATCTATTTTTTTCCCTCTAGTTCCAACGACATTGGACAGATTTTCAAAAACTACAAGGCTTTTTCGTCCTTGGCATAACAGTAACCTTGTGTAAAAATTTCATCCAAACACAAGCAATAGTTTCCAAGTTACAGACGGTTTAGTTTTTCGAGATGTGAATGTCATATAACACCCAAAAAAATAATATCTCACATCACGGTTTCTTTGTCAAGGGGAAGCAAAATCGGCTGCGCAACAGCTACAAGGCAGCTACGAAATAAAGGTGGAGGAATGTGAATGGTGATTCTCCGCAATGCCTTCCCATGCTGAAGGTCAAAATCCCATTAGAAAATGGACGGGGTAGCACCCAAACCAAAACAACTAAACGTAAGATACATAATAAATGATGCTACTCCATAATCTGGTGTTTGGAGCGTTGATATCCCGGAATCTGGAAATTATTACCAACGAAACGCACAACCAAAACCTCAACGGAAAGAAGAAAAGAAAAATGGCGCCGGACCTGTCCGTACACGCAAGTTTTTTAAAGCAAGGTATCTTGTTAGGAAAAGAATGTATCCTGATAGTAAAGCAAATATTCACAAACGTGCAGGAATCACAAGGTCGCGCTGGTTGCCAATGGGCGGAACCAACTCTACGAGAGACCAACGATATTTTATGAGGAAATTTCTGAGATAGTCGTTCGTAATACTATGATGTTAGTGTCCAAAAGATTTCAAACAATACTGAATCGATGAGAAAGGAAGATATCATACGTGTGAAATTATATTGTCCAATAGGGACGCAGGAAAGTAAACGTCAATTTGACATGGACGCCATCTTTGTTTTCTGTCACCGACATGTCATTTTGTTAGTTGAATGTTTACCATTGATCGCTATGGAGTCGTATTCGATTGAAGACCGCATTAAAGTTGTTCATGAGCACTACAAAAATGGTGCAAAAATAAAAAACACGTTTCGCGCGCTTCGTGAACATTTCGGTCGAAACAACCATCGGTCGTCTGGTGCGTGAATTCGAGGCAACAGGTTCTGTGGCAAATCTGCCAGGCTCTGGCCGGCCAAGGTGCGTTCGCACACCGGAAAATATTGCTGTTGTGAAGGAGAGTGTGAGAGATGATCCGAAACAATCAACAACGCGTCGATCCCAAGAATTGGGCATTTCGAGAACCAGTTTGCTCCGCATTCTCCACAAGGATTTGAATGTACAGGCCTACAAGATCCAATTGACGCAAGAGCTGCGTCGGGCCGACCATTTTTCGCGCCGAACGTTCTCAGATTGGCTCCTTGAACACCGCCAAATTGATGCCAATTTTTCATCAAAAATCATGTTCAGCGACGAAGTGCATTTCACTTTGAATGGGACGGTAAACAAGCAAAACTGTCACATCTGGGGGAAGGAAAATCCCCGTGAGTATCAAGAGCAGCCGATGCATCCTCAAAAAGTGACTGTGTGGTGTGCATTGTGGTCAAAAGGCATCATCGGACCTTACTTTTTCGAAAATGCGGCCGGGGACGCCGTTACCGTCAATTCTGAGCGATATCACGTGATGATAGAGGACTATTTTTTGCCGCAACTTGAAGGAATGGATATGGACGATGTTTATTTCCAACAAGACGGTGCAACATGCCACACAACCAACGTCAATATCCATCGATTGCAGTCCTTCTTCGGTGATCGCGTGATTTCGCGCAGAGGAAATGTGCCATGGCCACCAAGATCGTGCGATTTGACTCCCTTGGACTTATTTTTATGGGGATATTTGAAAAGCAAAGTCTACGTCAAGAAACCAACCACCCTC